CGGGGGGCGAGAGGGGTAGTGTGCGGGGGATCCAAGTCGGCAAGGCTTGAAGAAGGTGAGAGGGGTGGGGTGAAAAACTGATTAATGTGTCAGGGTGCATGTAGCGTCGACGGCACGGCTGCTCCAGACTGCGGAGACACACTGACCCTGGCTGTACAAAGCCCATGCCAGGGCCTCGCAGCCAAAATCAGGCCGCCGCCCCACGTCACGCCTCACACACTTTATGCCGCATCCCACCCTGACCGCCGCCCACCTGACGGTCGTCATTTGGGGGATCTCTGTGAAGAAGGACAGCTCCCCAAACGTCTCCCCTACGCCCGCCTCGCGCTCCTCCCCAATGTAGGGGACTGCAAAGCCCCCCCGCCCCGCGCCGCCGTCGTCGCACTCCCCCGGGCTGCCCAGCACGGGGGTCAGGCCGCCGACTGCGGAGAACGGGCCGTCCCTGCAGGGTGTAGGTTTAGGGTTCAGGCGTCGGGTGAGCTGGCGTAAACAAAAATCTACGGCGGTACATAAATTGGAGCGAAGCAGGGGCTGCAAAGAATCTCGCCAGCCAGCTGCGCAGCCCCAGAACACCCGTCATCGAAGCTGCGTGTGCCCCATGCTGCTCCCCAGGGCCGTGCGCAGCCAGAAGCTGCATGTCTCACTGTCATCCCAACCTCGATCCTGCAACTCGGGCGCCCCTTTTATTGCCCCAGCACCTGCTGCCGTGCATGCTGCCGGGGCTCCTGCTGCCGCCTGCCACCGCGGGTATGAGGTCCTCCTCCCCCCAGAAGGCCAGCTCGTTGTCGCCCGTCATGCTGCTGTCAGTGTCCAGGGGGGACCTTTGGGGTGGAGCAGGGGGCGCGGAGGTGAGTCCTTGGCGAGGAGCATGACGGGGTCATACTCAAGGGCAGACCCAGCGAGGCTAAGGGGGAAGGGGTGGGGCCAAAGACGGCCGGTGTCGCGACTGTGGCTGATCCAGAAGACTGCAGGAAGATGGGAGGATATGCGTAAGCAGCTCTAGAGCACACAGGCGGCGCTGAGCGCCAAGAAAGCGGAGACCTGAGAACAAAGCACTGCCAGGCACCCCTGGACGCAGGCACTCCAGCAGGCAGCCCCTCGTGCCCCATCGCTGCCAGCCTAGCACTGAACTTTGCTGACGCCTCACCTCATCCACACGCGCCCTGACACCACCATGTACAGCTCGTTTGCGCTGTCGCCCGCGGTGACGATGTCCACCCCCTGCTTGAACAGCTCCAGGCGGCTCGAGGTCAGCAGGGCGTCCTGCGTGGGTCGGTGGTGGTGGTGGTAGTGTGTGTATGGAGGGGCGCATGTCATGACAGGTATGCGCTTTGGGACACGGAAATCAGATGCTGATGGTGCATTTTCAGCCACCTGACAGCAAAACAAACTTTGCCAACTTCGCTGGACTCAATCTGATGTTTGCATGCATATGTTTGCGTGCAAACGCGCCCCAGCAGCCCCTTGCTGGGCGCATGCGCGTGCCCACCAGGAACTTGCGGGGCGTGCCGGTAAAGAGGTAGCATGAGCGCAGGAGGGGGAGGTACAGGTGGCGCAAGATGCGGCGGCGGAGGGTAGATGGGTAGATGGACAGGACCTGGGGG